ATGACTGTGATAAGAATATCAACGATGATGATAAGCGATAATTCCCCGGTACTGAAATGATATTAATGCCGATGTACTCACACCAATTACTGAATGGTCTATGATACTATTTTCTATCCAAGAAACACAAACCATTCATAACCCAGAGTACTATCGATATCATATAAGTTCTTCGACACTTCATCATATTGTATGATAAAAAAATGAACAATGAGAATTTAGATAATTTTGCATGACATAAAGGACTATCAGACAAGTTTCTATGTCCTTTTACACGACGTTCAATTTTCAAAATGTTGATCTTGTATTTGTCAGTAGCAGTCACCTTTGTATACACATAATAAACAGACAAATAACAGGAATTACAGCAGGGGGACTGGCTGTAAAGAAAGAAATACTTGAAAAAAATCTGAACACAATGCCACTCAGACCATAAAAAGAGTATTAGTGGGGTTACTGTCACTGCCTACTAATTTCGCTCATTTTGCCTGGCTCGCGGTGTCGGGAAATGGTTTGGATTACGCTGTTTTATATTCGATATCGTCTCGCCTTGAATGCCTGATATTCGGTTTACATGGAACACACAGGTGCCTCATGAAGAAACTAGCTACGACCATACCATGTTAATATTTATAACGAAAATTGAGATAAAGGCAAAAATGGTATATGAAAAAGATAATATCACTAATGTCAGTAAAAGATGATCACATATCTGTAATACTGGAATATAAACATAAATACTAACCGAAAAATCAAGAATAAGAAGACTAAAGATTAGCGAACAACAAGAAGCATACTGACCACATGAACAACATATCATAATTTGAAATCTTTACTATCTTTTCACAATTACAACCATAAAGCACAGACATAATCGACTCTCTACCATCATGATTGTTGTGCTATCATATAACATTCACTGAATTTTGAAATAAAGGCAGCAAAATCAGGGACATTTTTTACCTACATTAGGCTACCATTATGGCAACCACCAACATCGTTATTTTCCCGCCACTCTTACTCACCTTTCTCCTTTTCTATTTTAGAAGATCGTACCTAAGCACTCGATACATTTGACAGCACAATCTAGAACAATTTTTAACTGCATAAAACTTTGGCAGTCATGGTTTTTGGCCCCATATTAATGCGTGCGCCAAATCCGAAAAGGGTATTCGATTCTAAAAACTAAATTATAAGTACAATGAAGAACAGGAAATCCCATGAGTAGGCTTACGGCAGGCGGACCTTCAGATCCTATACAATTTTGCCTCAGGTACGCGGTGTGGTTTCGTCAAATCGACTGTATCATTTGAGATCATTATGATTGCCTTTTTTATGTATTTATTCTTGCCCTCCCATAACAATGAGGACCAGGATGTATGAGTGGATATGAAAACACACACACACATACACACACACACACACACACACACACACACACACACACACACACACACACACACACACACACACACACACACACACACATATATATATATATATATATATATATATATATATATATATATAATATAAAGAGAGAGAGAGAGAGGGAGATGTGTGTGTGTGTGTATATATACTATATATATCATCATCATCATCAGCCAGTCAATCCACTGCAGGACGCAGGCATATATATATATATATATATATATATATATATATATATATATATGTAATTAAGGCATGGCAGCGATTGCGCTCTGCAGACGGACTCCAGTTTGCACACACACACATATGATATATATATATATATATATATATATATATATATATATATATACATATATATATACATATATACATATATATATATATATATATATATATATATATATATATATATATATATATATTCATATGTGTGTGTGTGCAAACTGGAGTCCGTCTGCAGAGCGCAATCGCTGCCATGCCTTAATTACTTAGGGAACATCGATATGACGAATACGGTTATTCATCATAGAAGATAATTGTCTAAATGCCTATGACGACATTTGATTTAATAGTTCAAAGTTCTTATGCTTTGATTTGCTACAGTCGGGCCCAATGATCAAACCGAAGAAAACGAGCTTTTGTGGCATGTACTGCGAGCAAACCAAAGAGCACAAAAAAAAAAACATAATCCATTAATGCCGTAATGTGTCATTAGCCCTCGCTCGCGACACTCCCGACAGGAACGTCATTTGGGTGGTGGCTGGAAGGGTAATTACCAGCTCCCCCCCCCCCTCAAGGTCTGGCTTTCTGGCTTCCCGTTCCCCCCAAGGATCAGAGGCCAATTTCTTTTTTTCTGAATTGCACCTTTATAGCTCTAGTCGTAGCTTTAAAATGCTCCTAGAAGAGCTGATTAAAAAAAAAAAAAATCTTCATAGGTGTACTTGCATTTCAGTGTTCATTGAGCTCGCCAACCTTCCCCCGTCCTCCCCCCAAAAATTAAATAACACCCCTATTAATTTGAAATCAGATTAATATCAAACCTTATATTGTATATTATATATGATAGTAGTCTAGATTTTCAATATAGATATTTTGCTGCTGGAGAATCTTTTTCACCTAAAGCGTCTTTGGAATTCTATAGAAATTCGTCTGCTAAACGGAAACAAAAGACGTCACCGCGGATTTTTTTTCCGAAGGCAGTATTTTTGTTATTGTGTATGACTTCAGATGTTTTGATGCAGAAGAAAAGTGTTTAAGACAATAACAAGATATTTTCCCATGCGCAAATAAATTAAACATGGAAATTGCTGAAACCATCCTGGTATAGATTAATATGGTGTGGTAGACCGAAAGTCATCGCGGCGGAAATTTCACCTGATGTCACCAGCTAGTCTTGTAGCTGGGCATCATCAAAGGCGGAGCCACACTAACATATGGTGACTTTAAACCTTGAGCCGTACAATACACACATTATGAATAGTCGTATACCTTTTGGGTAAATCAAGTTTACAAGTTTAATGTCGCATTTTCTTGTTATACATTGAATACATTTTCTATAAAGAGATGCGGGTGCATTTTATGTCGTTCATGCAGTGCAATAAACGAAAAAAAAGCAGGGAATCTTATGATCAGAAGAATTTGATCCTATATACTGTAACTGTATTCTAATGTTCATCTGTTTATGATAGTATATGGTCCAATATTATTTTTTATGTTTTCTTTATCATCGGATGTCTAGAGAACGTCAGATATGCTGCTACGGAAAAGCTCACAGGCTCACAGTCCTGTCTCAGGCCCGTTCGATTTGTGCTGCCAGAGTACGGCAAGGGTCTGCTGCACGCCAATTTTCATTATTTTTCTACTAGAAAGGCATTGTGTGCTTATATTTTTTCAACAGAAATGGATTTCATATATTTCTAGAGCATTCTGTATCTAGTGAACAATGTAATAAACCATGCGTAAGCGATATTTTTTCCATTCAAAAAAAATAATTAAACTCTTCTTCGAGAATACACGTTATATCTATTCCTTTGATTTTGTATGTAGTGAATACAGCACTATAATAGTTTGAACATGTAATCTATCTTTATTAGCTATAAACAGCAATTATTTTTATATGACATCTTTTATAGGGCCACACGTTCAGAGAACCTTCTGATGAAAATGCCGACACGTTACCACTGTACTACGTTGGGGATTCACATATGTTAAGTATGGATAAGTCCGATATGCGAAGCTGAGTTTCGCCCTGGCTATGAGGAGAGTCTGCACTGTACCGACTAATGTTGACTTGTTCAACGTGTCAGTTAGTACTAGCTGACACGACAGAGCTTAGTCCTTAACCACCGTGGTGCCCAGCCACAGCAGTAACCTCCTGACGACAATTGCAATTTCTTGCGCCTGGGCGGGGCGCGAACCGCCGACCCCTCGGATGAGGCTGTCCACACATGGAGGTGCAGTCGTTTATATATAGTTCATCAGGGAAGTGTAGCACAATAGTTCTTGTTAGAAATAAGTGTTCAAAACATAACAAAAAGGCTGTTAGATATATATGATATATATATATATATGTATATATATATATGTATTGTATATATGTATATATATGTATACGAGTAAATATACATGTTGATGATGATTATGATAATGATAATAAGGATAAGGGTAAGGATAATGCTAATGATGATGGTGATGATAATGTGATTATGATTATACTTTCACTTTTCATATAAAAACAATGTAATAAGAAAAAGTTATATTTTGATTGAATCTGGGGAATACATTTGAAAGTTTCCACAGTCTTCCGAAACGAACGAAACAAAGTAGGGTTGTGTGTATAAAAGCTGTCAGGATTTGTTTCCAGTTTATTTGAAGTTCCAACCATGGTTTGCTTGTAATTAAATGCCGTGCCAGCATATCAAGGACTTTAATGTTTTTTATAGACTTTTTATGAGAAATTAAGAAAAAAAATCGAAATGTGGACGACAATACAGAGTTCCCTGATAGCGTGTTTTGTAGCGACAATGATACAACATGAAACAATAGGCTTTATCAGCATTAGCAGATAGTTGCAATTACTTCAAGTCAGCTGGGGGAATAACGGCGCTGCCGGGCGTACGAAAATCCATCGAGTTTAAGTATCGTACCACTTGAAAAAGAACCAGCTGTTTCGTACACCAAGCTACCGTGGCACAACGACTTCTGTACATGTATAAGAAATAACGAAATAATATGGCAATTGAGATTTTCATAGCTTACACCTGATGTCACATCATGCTGGAATTGCGGGTTATGCATTACTTGTCCTTAAAACAAAAATATTTTATTGCATTTGCTTAAGTTGCTTAAGTGACATTATTATTGTTAAAGCTATTATTCATATAGTGATGCTTAGCATTATAATGGTAAATGTTGATCAATAGACATAATGATAATGATGTATAATTAAATTAACAATGTGATATCAATGCCAGTACGACAGCAGTAATGTTTATAATATAATTAGTACATTCATATTGCATTTATTCATTAATTTCCTGTTGAAGCCCTGATGAAGCAATAGCATTAAGGCCTTCGGTATATTCATGTGTTTTCTTGTTCTTCCTGATGCAATTTGTTCGACATGAATTCCAAGATTGATAGGTAAATATATAGATAGACAGATAGATTTACATACTAGTATGATATATGGTTATACACATATATGGTGGAGCGGGGGAGGAGGGGGGTACGTGAATGCACAAGCATTCATTTGTTTGTGTAAACATAGGCCCCATAGGATTTGTTTATTTGGTGCTGAAATCTTGACCATACATTCTCTAATATTTTGTAATATGAATTGCCAGACAGATCATATCTCTTCAAATCCTTAGTATTCATTAATGACATTCGTGTGTTTGTAACTGTGATTAATACATAGGACCCGTGAGAATCCAAAATAAGCAAAGTATTCAATGTGAGACCAGCATTGGCCCTGAATCAGCAATTTTGCCAGAGTACAGCCTTTATAGGTCCCATAAGCATTAGCTCACTGGGTTGTGGCAATGGGTAACCAATTTCAGAGGCAACGATTATTGCATGACATACCCTATTTTCAACATGGTAAGGAGCAATATAGTTCTTCATACCTTGTGAATAAATTAACAGTCAATGGCTTCATCTCAACACATAAAGCACAATCTGTAGACGGGAATTAGTAGCCCATGACATATATGTATTTACAAAACAAAGTGAGAGAGAGAGAGAGAGAGAGAGAGAGAGAGAGAGAGAGAGAGAGAGAGAGAGAGAAGAGAGAGAGAGAGAGAGAGAGAGAGAGAGAGAGAGAGAGAGAGAGAGAGAGAGAGAGAGAGAGAGAGAGAGAGAGAGACAGAGACAGAGAGAGACAGAGAGAGAGAGAGAGAGGGTGGAGGGGGGGGGAACATTTGACAGCCTGTAGTTCAAGACAAGGACCACAAACAGATGGCACTCATATTATTTTCTGTTATAAGGTACAGGGAGCACATGTTGACCATGCCACACCTATAGGGAATTATCTGAAAACCGTTTACATCTGAAGGAGTGTTCAACTAAAGGGAAGCCTCTGACTTGTTCATCCTTGATATATAACAAAAACACTTCATGTATTTGTAAAAGTAAAGTATATGAAGGGTATTATTCTTTTGCTACATCCTCAATCTGATGATACTTTTTTTTTTTACAAGAATAATCGACTTGTGCCAATTCTAACACATGATACTTCATTTTCAAATAAAATGGGGAAAAAATAACAAGTTCTCATGGGATTACTTTATTAATATACATGCTTCTATTTCTGTTGACATTCATGCACAAGTTCTCACACAGACACCTACACACAGCCTTTACTATGGGACAAACATTTCCTACAAATCCCACTTGAATGTGCAGCGATCAATGAACAGTATCTACACCGAAAAGTAAAGAAAAGAAAAGAAAGAATTACCTGTCAAACAAGACATATTATCACTTGCACTTCACAAACAAAATGAAAAAATATATTACCCAAAGTCCGAGGGGATTCTACATTGCAAATAGAAATTACACCAAACAACATTCCTGTTCTCTTTTACACACAAGAAATTGCCAGTTGCTAAACTTTGTCATTTACAGACACAATAGTAGGCACAATGTAATGAGAATAGAGGTCTTCTTAATTAAGTAAAGTGCTAATCACATCATGTGGCAATAAATAAAGTTCTGGACAATAAACTCCATTAACAATCATAAAGATACATATCATGACTAAGATTTGTTTATTGTCATTATAGAAATATTACAGTCATCTAATCTTATCAAGGCAAATAATTATTCATACAAGGAATATATTCAGTCTAACATACTTTTATTTTACCCACTTGTCTACCTAAAGAACCTCAATTTTTTTTTTAATAATGAGCTTGATGAATTGTTCAAAAAGAAAAAAGTGAAGAAGAAAAAATATTTCTTGAGTGATTAACAGTAATGATATTGAATATAAAAATCAATGGGAAGTAATAACATAAAAAATAATAATAACACAAAAGTCAAAATGTCAAAATAAAAAATATTACTCATGATGATTAAATATATGACAATAATCATATTGACATTTCCACTTATGAAAAAGTGATGATGATTATGGTGATCATGATAACAGCAATAATGATGAAAATACTAAAAAGAAAAGTAATAAGAACATAATAATGAAAATGATGAAAACATGAAAAATCAGAAACACAAATAGTTTAAATAAAAAAAAATTATAATCATAATCAATCATAGCAAATAAACATTCCCTATAATAAATAGTTTACAAGGTGACGGGCACTGGGATACTGTCGGATTCATTAAGTACAGCTTCCTCTTCCTAAAACTAACTACAATTTTTTGGTTAATTTTTTTCATAAACTAAAGCCTAAAAAGTACAAAGTTTATGTTCTGTCAATTTATATACATCTGCTACTTCTAATTTCTTTCCTAATACTCGCTCCAACAGCATTGATGAATCTTGGATTCTGGATGCCATGGAGCACCGTGGATCTGTACACTACTTTTGTATAGCACTCTGGGTTCTAAAACACTTGCAAATACTCTGTTTCAGCCTATTAGAACTTTCTCCATGCAAATCATATGAAATCCACATTAGATTTACAATATCACATCAAAATTTATTTGATTAAAAGAAAAAAAAGCTGATTCTTTTTTAAGAAATGTCTAGGTCTACTATTATTCACAGGTTGACAACTGGGGTAAAGTGGGCAAAATCAGACTGTACAAGGGAAGGGGAATAGAACATTTATTACAACTACCTGAAAACTTAAATAATGAGGCATGTGTATAATTTCAATGAATGTTGATACATCCTAAACCTACATGAAAAAAAGTTTAATATCACAACATACTCATATTTCTATATGTGATATAATCAATAATCTGAACCTTTTAATATACAGATAAGTTCATTGTGCACAAAAATACATGCGCACACACACACATACAAATGCATATACACAATTACATATATACACACATGGTATAAATGTAAATGCACTTATGCACATGTGTGCATGTGTTATATATTACACTGTACACTAATAGCTCAAGATTAATGATATAATCACATGTGATTCTGGAAGATAAAACATCCCTTGCAATGAGATTTACAATAAAGCTATCCTAAACTACACCATGAAATATTTTGGAATTTGGTTACAAATTTATGCCCCTCATAGTTATTCCATCCTTCTCAGCCCAGTGTTGTTCTTTAATAAATTAGCTGCTCCATTTTACTCTTTGGTTTTTGAAACTTAGTGCTTATTTTCATTAGTACTCTCTATTTTCTTGCCAAAAAATTTACACTGTATGAATGACATTCCTCACTGAAATATAAATAATGATATTATTATTAATAAAACATCATACCCACAACAACCCAGTTACTGCTTGCTTCACCTGCTCTTGCAATATTACTACAGTTGCAGTTTACAGCAGTTAAAGCCACTATTACAAGAAAGGCAGCATGAGAGTGCAAAATATATATATATTTTTTTTTGTTTCTGATTTTTTTTTCTTTTATAAGAATTTAAGCCAACTATAGTTAAAGTCCTATCACCAGCTAAAGATATCATAATTTAAAAGTTCTCCCTACTGCTAAAAATGTTGAGTATTCCATCTATAGTTAGACTGTTTACCTTTCATTTGCAAAAACTCTCTGATAAACAACTACTATATTCTCTGATAGCTTTATGTAGCAAACAAGAGAATGTTCTTTAAATCTTCCAGTGTTCAGTGTGCAAACAGCAGTAGTAAACCTTTTCACACACAGTTTGCATGGATGGTGGATGAATGCATAGGTGTTAACAGCTGTAACTGGCTATACAACAATGGAAGAAATCGGCCGCATCAATCACCTACAAAATCACACATACATCTGAGATTTGGGAGAAGCCTTGCCATTAAATTACAAGCATTACAATGGCTTCAGAATCAGGGACACTGGTGTTGCCTCTGACATTACATCACTACAGGAATTCTAGCAAAAGCTTTTATTATAATAACTGTCGAGTAATGGTCTGATGAAAATGTATCATCAGTAAATATTTGATACTCATAAAGAAGGAAGATGAAGCAACAGAAGTCAGAAATAAAATAATGCCAATATTAGTAGGCAATATAATGAAAACCAATTAAATACTACTGATTTCTATATAGGAAACTATATATATGGTTATTAAAAGTGGATTCTTTTACTCTAATAATATACTTTGGCTCCTTCTGCAAAATCAACAAGAAGGAATAAATCTTTTTTAACACAGCAAAGTGACTTAGATTCACATACTTACAGCTCTTAAGAATAAGGGTGCACCCAAGATTTCAAAATGGTTGTCAATGACTAAATAGGAGTTTAGTATTGATATAAAACATGCTGATGTCAGTAACGATGTAAATACAGCATAATCTCTATATTTCAAAAGATACCAGTAACAGAAACTGTTGATACCATAGACACTGACTAGATGAAATATGGAGTTAGTCTTTCTTTCCTATAAGTGAGATCAAATTCAAATCAATACATGAGAGACATTTTGCAGAGCACCAAATAAAATCTAGGAATAAAGTACTCCATGAACATATTGAATGCAAAATACAAAGAATGTTAATCTACTATTACATACTGATTACTAATAAATATTACACTCCTCAAATAAATAGTTTCATGTTCCTTAATATATGGTTGTAATACATACGATTACTGAAAAATAAAGACATCAAATTAAAACATTTCCTAACCTGCTTTGCTATTAAAGGCCTGGAAATATCTGTGATGTAAGAATCATTCTAATATATGTCAACTTCTAATATCAGTGTGGTATCCTCTGTTTCAAATGTTGCGTATATTTGATATAAAGAGATTCCACTATATTGACTATATACTAGCACTTTTAATTACTTAAATTACAATCCCATATCCCTCTTTACATATATAATGGACAGTTTGCATCTCCTTCATGAGATTAACATTTATGAAGTACTGGAATTGTTAAGGGAAGTAATACTATTCTGTATTTCT